TCCAATGTGCTATCTGCTCTTTGCTTGACTACATGGACTTCAGGGTGATTTGCAATTTGGATTTCTGTACTTCGTTCACACTCATGTTCCTTGCAATTTGGTATCGGAGCTGGTTCGATTCGCCGCTTACCTTGTGCGGTGGCGACATACAGACTTGGTGCGTTGATGATGCTTCTTCGCAGTAGGTGTTTGTGACGTCAGGCAAAATAGCGCGTGACCCGGGTAGTGGGGTGCGCGCTGGATGGCTTTACAGCTTGGGACGCTGTGGCGACAGCGGAATGTATGTATGGTGATGAGAGCATGCTGATGTGGCATTTGGCTGAGGTGGCACTGCATTGCGTTGTGGGTGGTACCGAGGCTTTGACCGGTCATCAAATGCACATTCAGCTCAATTGGTGAGACATCTGTGGTTGGGGGCAGCTATCTTCAGGTACGTTGTTTCCTTACCTTATCTACCCTCTCAATCTCTTCTTACCGCGAGGAAGTGAGTTCAACTTAAGAGTCCTCTCTTTTCGGTGAGGTGTCGTGAATGCTCTACCTTGAGAAACGACAATCTTCCTGGTGGCGCATCTGGAAGGAGAAAGGGGCGGTGTCTCTGAATGGCCCTGGTCGAAGCACGTGGGTCACGGTCACCATGCCAACCCAATGGGATTAGTACATGCGATGGCTGCTTTGTCCATTGGGGCTCTTTGCTGCGCTGATAGAGGGGTGTGCGGACTGAACAGGCTTATGTAGACGCTCCCAGACCGTCTATAAACATTTCTGGTTGGGGTTCCGATCTGTCCACTGGCTGTGATCGTCGTCCTGATTGCGACGTTAAATAATTCCTGAGCGACCTTGGGGGCGGTCCTTAAATAGCCTCTTGATCAGCCAGATCAGTTGGACGTACGGCTCATTGCACGCGAGGATAAATAACGGGCAAACCTGGTCATAAGCATGCACCTGGGGCACAGGGGTGGGCCGACATTGCACACCTATGACACTGCTGCTCATTGATGCTCATCGGTATGTTGGATTGAGGGGAGGGTAGGTTCCAATTGGTGCTCAACTGTAAACACAACCATTTCCACTGTTCATACATCTGCAACATAATTTCGTTTTATTTTTGATTAGTTGGTTGACAGACTGCTAACACCTCACAGACAGCTTAGTTTAGGACTGTGGTATACTACCATGGCCAGTTCTATGCAAAGCTTCTGTAAGTGAACTAATCTGGATAAAATTAAATTATGTTTACAGTCTTTGTGAATGTTGTAGGCTGCCACTTGATCGGTTAAGTAGGAGACCTGCCGGACACATTTATTTTTAGAAAATTAGGTGTCGGTCAGACACATGCTGTGGTAGGACTCCAGCAGGGAGTTGTAGTGCAGATAGTGTTTGCCTAGCTGATGAGTGGGTCAGACTCCGATGAGGGTAGAGTTGATGATGCGAGGTTGACACGTTCGAGATCACGTCGGGTCCCGTACGTGTTTCAGGTCCTACAGTCGGGAGACGAACAAACGCCGCAGCTAGGGAACAGGCAGCAGCAGCAGCCAGCGCAGCAGCAATGGCTACCGCCGCAGCATCCTCTGCTGCATCCTCGTCTGGGACTCAGTTGGGGATGCCCCATGGGCCCACGGGTACTTCCGGATCAGTAGGTTCCAGTCACTCCACAAGTCAAATGGCGGGCTCGCAGTTCAGTCCATTGACCCCACCCGACAGAGAGCTACAAGAGATCCAACAAGTCGAGAGGATCCGCACACGGTTAGAGAGGGAACTGAAGCAAGCTACCGATAGAGAAAATGAGATTAGAAATAGAACAGCGAGGCTAGATACTTTAGAGGCAGACAAAGCTGCATTAGAGGAGTTAGATGAGTCAGCAATGTCTGACGCAATGAAAGTATTAAGGTCCAACATACTGTCACTGCATGCGCATGTAGACAACAGGTTGGACTTCATGCATAACTCCTTGGACCAAATCTTGGACCTTTTGCAAAGTCTAGGATTACGGTCAGCAGCACAGTCGCCGTTGTCGTTAACGGCGATGTCAGGCCCCTTTCCGGTACAAGCTGGCACACAACCAAGTGGTACGTCTTTAACAGCCGCACATACTGTTGTTTCTTCTTCTTCTAGTCCAGCGGCTAGAGCTACACCACAACCGCAACAATCTGTTCCACCTCAGGGACAACAACAAAGTCCATGGTACCCAAAGACCCCGATGAAGCCACCCCTTGCTTTCTCCGATGAGAAGAAGGACGAGGAACTCAACACTTGGTTGAGGACGGTTCCGATGTGGGTGAGGGCAACGAGGACGTTGCAGGAGGAGGAGGTGGTTACTGTTGCATCTTACCTCGAGGGTAAGGCAGCCAAATGGCTGCCAAATGGCTGGATGGGATAGTAGCTAAGGCTGGGTTCGGACGACGCATGGCAGACTGGGGTAAAACCCTCACTTTAGAAGAGTTCTTGGATATGGTAGAAGCTCGCTGGCATAATCCGCAGCAGGCACAAATTGCCACTGACGCGATGTTGAGACTGGACCAGCAAAGGTACAAGTCTGTCAGGGAGTTGACGTCTACCGTAGAGGACCTCATCGTCGTTCCAGGCATACGCTACGATGACCAGGTCTTATTGACCATGTTTCTGAGATGTCTGTCTGAGAACCTCAGAACCTTACTAGCCAACGAGGCTCGCCTCGAGTATCATTCCTTTGAGACCTTCTCTAAAAAGGCCTTAGACTTAGAGGCTACTCTAGGAAGTGCTCAACTACTCTAGGAAGTGCTCAACCTACTCCAGTAGACGGGAGGAAGAAGAAGAGTCGACAGGAGTGGAAAAAGAAGGGTAGTAGATTGATGATGGTTGAGTCCGATGGGACTCAAACTGAAATCGAAGAGCTTACCGACCTGATCAACGGCTCAGAGTACGATGGCGAGGAAATCGCTGAGGGTAGCACCCTCGCCGCAGTAGTCAAGGCAAAGGCTGGTGGCTGCAGTAAAGGCGGCCATCAAAAGAGTCAAGGGCAGGCCGCCTCCAATCAGTCCAAAGTAGCAGATTGGGTCAAGGCAGGTCTTGATCAGGAAGTGTGGCGGGACCGCCGAGTGCGTGGTGCTTGCATTAACTGTGGTGAATACTGACACACCCAGTATAAGTGCAAGAACGCAAAGGTCACGCAGAAGATACCCCCTAAGGGAGGGGTGCCTTCTTCCAAGGCTGGGACCAGTTCCAGCTCGGGAAACACTTGAGGCCGGTGGAAGTTTTAGTTGCTTCTACTCATGGTGAAGTGGGACAAATACCCTCCCTTGTTCATGAGATGGCCATAGCTAATGACTCTTTAGTCACCCCCCAGACACACCCAAACCAAACCATGCTCTGTACGTTGGATGTGTCTGAAGCCTTAGAGGACTTACAAAGCGAATGGTCGAATAGTGATCCACGCGAGTCCTGCGTGGCACTAAGTGCAGGTCCTAGAGGGGAACATTTCGTAGTGGAGGTTGTTGTAGGAGGCCGCAAATGTGGTGCCTTCGTAGACATCGGCTCCACCCGGAATTATATAAGTCGCGACTGTTTGGAAAGGCTGCGTCTAAAGGACTAGGTGCAACACCTAAGTAGACCAGTAGCATCTACTTTGGCCAATAAGGAGCGCATGGTTGTCACAGACTATGTCAAGGATGTAGTCTGCACCTTCTCCTATGGAGGAGGGGAACTTAATCACAAGATTTCGTTCCTAGTTAGCGACGACTTACCATTTGATATGCTGCTAGGAATGTACTACCTTGAGGTTGCCAAGCCCCAGTTTGACTGGGACAAGAAGGTGCTCAGCATGAGTTGCCTGATGGAAGGACCGTGAGACTGGCCAAGTATAAGGCTAGTAGGTTACTAGAATCCTTTGGCTGCTTGTGCGCATCAGCGTTCTACAATTACTATAAATAGAACCAAAAGGAGGGTATGTACCTAGTGTACGTCTCTGAGAAAGGGGAGGCCGTTAAAACACCCCAGAGATAGAACACGTCGTTGCTAAAATCCCTGATCTGTTTGAGGAACCTACAGGAGTCGTAGAAAGGGAGATTGTCCACGCCATAGAAATCATTCCAAGGAGTAAAACCCCAAAGGGAAGGATCTATAGGATGGCTCCGGCCGAGTTGGACGAACTTCAGCGACAACTGAAAGAACTCACAGAGAAGGGATGGATACGGCCTAGTACTTCCCCCTTCGGATCATCGGTGTTATTTGTATCGAAGAAGGGGGGGTCGTTGAGGATGTGCATTGATTATAGAGGCCTCAATGCCATCACTGTGAAGAACGTTGGGCCTCTACCACGCATTGACGACCTATTGGATAGGGTGCAGGGATGTAAGTAATATACCAAGATAAATTTAAAATCCGGCTACCATCAGATTGCCATAAGACCTGAGGATCAACACAAAACTGCATTTCAGACCAGGTACGGTCTGTACGAGTTTGTGGTGATGCCCTTTGGCCATTGCAATGTGTCGGGTACATTCCAACATGCCATAAATAAGATCTTCCATGACTACTTGGACAAGTTTGTCGTCGTGTACCTCGACGATATTCTTGTCTTCAGTAGGTCTGTCGAGGAGCATGCACAACATTTAGAGATTGTTCTCTCACTCCTGCGGCAGCACAAGTATAAGGTCAACCTATAGAAATGTGAGTTCGGACGCACTAAGGTCTTGTACTTGGGTCATGAAGTATCTGCGGCGGGGATTAGGCCGGAAGATGCGAAGGTGGCTAGTATAAGGGACTGGCCACGACCTCAGACTATTACTGAGGTCAGATCTTTCTTAGGAATGTGCAGTTACTATAGGAACTTCGTGAAGAATTACTCTACAATCGCCTCTCCTTTAACTGATCTCACTAGACTTGACACACCGTGGGAGTGGAGTGATGAGTGTGAGGCTGCTTTCAAGCGATTGAAGCATGCCCTCATGAATCATGAGGTTCTCATGGTGCTCGATCCTCAGAATCCTTTCATTGTGACCACTGACGCAAGCCAATACGGCATTGGCGCAGTGCTGGCTCAGCAGGATGGGAAGAAGTTGAGACCGATTGAGTATATGAGCAAGAAAATGCCATCAAAGAAACTGGCAAAGTCCACCTACGAAAGGGAACTCTATGCCCTCTACAAGGCACTTGTCCATTGGAGACACTTTCTGTTGGGGCGGTTTTTCTATTTGAGAACTGACCATCAGACCCTCAAATGGATCAAGACTCAACCTGCTCTTTCTGATGCACTCAAGCGCTGGATTGAGGTCATAGATCAGTATGACTTCAAGCTGGAGTATCTGAAGGGAGAGTACAACAAGGTTGCTGATGCGTTGTCGCGTAGGGCAGACTACCTAGGGGCGCTAGTTTCCGAATTTGGTGTATCTGAAGAAGTAACTCAATCGCTGGTGGGAGCCTATCAGGAAGACCCTGTCACAATGGACATCATACGCAAACTGCAGGCGAAAGATAAGGCCACAGAAGATGAGTTTGTGATGGTGGACGGGCTCCTCTTTCTTGAAAAGGCCGGGTTCAAAAGGTCAGTTATTCCATCTAGTGAACGTTTGCGAAGTCTATTTTTAGGGGAATGTCACGACGCAATAGGGCACTTTGGTTACAAGAAGACAAGCGCTAATCTGATACAGCGATTCTGGTGGCCCAACATGCTAGACGATGCTAGGAAGTACGTACAGACTTGCCAAGTCTGTCAGCGAGACAAACTCAAGCACCGCTTGGATTGTTGAAGCCTTTGCCCAATCCCGCTGGCCCGGGACAGCGTGTCTCCATGGACTTCATGGACACCCTGGTGACCAGCAGGAGTGGGAAGAGGCACATCTTCGTCATAGTTGATAGGTTTACAAAGTATGTCACACTAATAGCCATGCCGGAAACAGCAAGGACTGAGCACGTCATCAAGTTGTTTATGGACAACTGGGTGCGTGACTTTGGGCTGCCTAAGACTATCGTTAGTGATAGAGATGTCCGCTTTACAAGTGAGCTGTGGAAGAAGACTGCTGAACAGATGGGCAGTCAGCTTCAGATGACTTCAGGGAATCATCCCGAAGCCAACGGACAGGCTGAACATATGAACCGGGTTGTGCAGCATCTGCTGAGGCATTACATAAAGCCCAACCAGGACGACTGGGATGAGAAATTGCCTCTCATCGCCAGCGTGCACAACAACGCCGTGCACAGCACTACTGGCGTCAGTCCAAATCAGATGCACTTGGGATGGAAGCCTAGATCTGCTCTAGACTTCCTCCTGCCAGAAAACCGACCTGCTGCAACCCCCGGAACCATGGAATATGGTGTCCAGTATGAGAAGTTGCTGCAGCAAGCTGTCAAGCACATCAAGAAATCTCAGGAAGCAATGATTGCTTTTGAGAACAAACATCGTCAACAGTCCACATTTCAGGTAGGGGAACGTGTCTGGGTAAAGGCTAGTGAGCTAGGACAGGAGTTCGACATCTCTAGAAAACTAATGCCACAGTATTTTGGTCCTTGGGAAGTATTGGATGTAGTAGGTACTGATTTGGATGGTCCCTCATACGTTATCCGAATCCCTGGACACCTGCGCACTTACCGTGTCTTTCATGCCTCAAAGCTTGCATCTTTCGCTGAGACAGATCAATTTCCTTCAAGGAGATCAATGCTGCCCCCGACCATGGATGGCCACGTCGACATCGACGACATTGTGGATAACAGAGACATGCCTGTTCCAAAGCCACTGGCTCGAGGGAGACCTCCAAAACCCAAGAGAGAGTATCGTGTCAGATTCAGGCATCATACGGATCCGAAAGAAGATCGGTGGTTCACCAGAGAGGAACTGATTGACACAGCTCCTCAAGTGGTAGCAGAATATGAAAGGATGTTAAAGGGGAAGGCACCTGCGAAGTAAGCATCTCAGCGGACTTCCAAAGCCAAGAGGGATGGAATGCGAGGATTGAGCCCTCAATGGGGCCTTGCCGACATTCACATGTTCTGGGCTAAGGACCCCAACAAGCCTTGTGCCCGCCCTAAGTGGGCCAGAATATCCACAAGAGGCCTTCCTTTCAACATTTCACGAAGTGGGTATCCGACAGTTGCCGCACGCCAGTTGGTTGGAGTGCATCGTGAGCCCAGACTCCTGCAGAGGCAGTTAAGCCCAGGGCCTC